AAAACTGTAGACTATAGCGAATTTAAGAGCAAACTGTCAGCGCACAATTTCTGTTAATATTACATTTATATCACATATTATTATATTAACGATTATTATATTATTATATTATGAATTATTTTTATCTTTTAACCTGTTCTTGCTGTAATTTTAAAGTAGTAATTAGGATCGGAGATACTAGCTTATAAGCTAATCTAAAATCCGAGGATAAATAAAGTTTATGTCTGATGTATGTATTAACTGCTGCAAGTAGACTGCCACAAAACTGCTTGAGCACTCAAAGATGCTAGCTGTGATTAAGTGGCAAGGTTCTATGTGAGCATGCACTTGTGGCAATACAGTTCATGAGCACTGGTCAGAAGAGCCTGCTATTTTTAGCTTATGGCAGTTACCAAATAAATTTTACTTAAATAGAAATAAATAAATCACTCATTGTCTGTGCTTGCTCTGCCAGGATCCACACTCAATTCACAATTAATCTCTTCTAGCCTAGAGAACAGGTGTAATTGTTTTGCATTTTTCAGTAGAATTGAAGCAAGTGTGCAGGGATTTTATTAACGTTTAGTGCAGGAGGGCATGTGGATCTGGCAGCCAAGCATACTTAAAGGAAGGCCCAAAAGGCCTGACCTCCTAGAGGGGGCCAGGGGCATACTTCCTGGAAAACTTTGAATTCTAAGTCACAGAGATGCATTTTCTTGCATTTTGGAACAGAAAGTGACGTTCTTCAGTTGCAAAAAAGGACAGTCATAATTTCTTTCCTTGATGGTCTTGACTTGACACATCAATGAACAGGTAAATTTGTTTTCTAAAGCAAATCCATAATCTTGTACTACTAAATTTTTAGGAAAGCTTGCCTTTCAACATGACTACAAAAGGCAAGGTTTCAGTTCATGTAAAGTGGGTTAGAAATTTTCAGGATTTTAATTTTGCATTGATTTTCATTTTCCTCTAGACCCAAGCTGAAGATTCTTGCTTGAGTAGGAAACGAGAAAGAGGTGCTTAATTTGAGATTGATGAAACCTTGTAACTTTACTTTCTGTGGAAATTTGTGGATAATCTTGTTATTTGGCAACCAGACATTGGATCCATGGCAGTGTTTATCAGTCACCTGAGACACTTTTTCTTTAGGAAGTGATTTATTTTTATGCACCACTCATCAATCCCAATAGATATGTGTTTTACAGGCCAGCATATGTAAAAACAGACTCCAGGAATATGTTTTGATTCTAAGACCCACCATTGATTAAAGTGTACATCTGATGCTATTCATAATTTTCATTATGATGTTGCTTGTCCAACAGCATATGAAAAGAACGGAAAGCGGCATAGAAAGGTAATCATTGCTTTAAAATTGCTCAAAAATTGCATTTTGTAACTATGGTATTTTGAATATTAATAGAAACATCCCACCTTTGATTGTCATTAAAAAGGTTTTCGATAGAAACTGTTTTGAACAGAATAGAAGAAATTGTTTTTTTCAGTGCTTGCTGTGATACCAAAGAATTCAACAGTCACAATGCCTCACTGACACCTGATGAAAAAAGCATATTCTTGCAGAAAAATTGCACAGGTGTGATGAATGAATCATGGGGATTTTGAAAAATGTTGTCTTTGAAAGGGAATGCATTTTACCTCTTAAATCAGCCAAGTAAAACCCAAGATTAAATTTTTCAGGTCCTGTGATGACGCTATAGAGTAGAATGAACATCTCACGATCATTTCACAATGGCCTCTGGCTATGAAAAACGGCCTCTTGATGATGAAAAACAATCTTTTCCTTGCAAAAAATTTTAATGTATGATTGGTGCATCATGGAAACTTTGAAGAAAAATCTAGTCCTTGAAGAGAGAGTATTGTACCATTTTAATCAGAGATCTTTGCCCCGTATAATTGCTAAATTTGCAATGCAATCAAGGTGCCAAACATGATGCCAGGAATTAACATGAAATAAAATCCATAATCTTGTAGTACTAAATTTTTAGGAAAGCTTGACTTTCAACATGACTGCACAGGGCGTGGTTTCTGTTCGTGTCAAGGGAGTTAGAAACGTTCACGATTTTAATTTTGCATTGATTTTCATTTTCCTACAGACCTTTGCTAAGGATTGTGACAGAAAACGAAGAAGAGGTGCTTAATTTTAAATTGACGATTTTATTTCAACTCTTGCACATATTCACGGATAGGTGGAGAGATTTTCTAACATATACAGCAGTAAATTTAATACCTTGCGAGGAGCAAACAGTGTCTTGCTAAAATGTCCCTTTTTCTCCCCTCTAAGGCTTAGAAATTAATAGATACCTAAAATTTGTATAATTGGTATCAAATGAATTGAAACAAAAAAAAAACCATGAATTCTTTCTCAAAAGGTTGTAGTGATGGAGCATTCCTAGAAAAGATGGATCAATGTTTCCATGTCTGTTTTGCAAAATAGCATAGAGCAGTCTCTAAAATTCCTACTTTAGATTAAAACCAATTCGTTGCTTATACTTTGTGGGGAAATTTGAACGAAAGTTCCATATCTGCCTTGGTAGTAAATCAATTGGCCTCCAGCTCAAATATTCCACCACTTCGAGGTCAGTCCCTTGCTCATTTTTTTTTTACTCTTTGGAGAGCCTGTAGAATTTTTATAAGAAGTGTATATGCTAATTTAGTCGGCTTGGTCGCCGTAAGCAGTTTTTGCACTGTATTTTGATAAGAATTTCTTATTAAAATACAGTGTTTTTCATCACTGTATTTTAATAAGAAAGTATCTTATTATATTTGATTTCTGCTTCAATTTTTGTATCTACGGACTTCTGTGAAGTCGTAGTTACTATGCTATCCAGAGTGTAAGTCTTTCCGTCCGTCTGTCTGTCCGTAATGATAGAAATTTTCGGATAATGCTCGGAATTCAGTTCGGTGTTCTCAGATATCGTTCGATGTGTCACATTTCTGCGATTAATTGCTCCGCAAACGAAATATTTTGCCCCCGTAAGGAGTTTGTCTGTCGCACTGCTTTGATTATTTGTTCTCCGATTGCGATTTTACTCAAAAATCGGGATGAAAGATAAATATCGCTAAATATTTTGGCATGTGTGCAAATAGGCATGCAGATTAAATTTCAAAGTGAATATGCCAGGTGTTATCTATTGATGAATGAGTTGCCCGTAACCGGATCCTTGCGTTTGCGCAAAGATTTCCGGGATTGTCACGGGGCAAACATTGCAACCCGCTAGAAAGAAATGTGTGGCGAAAGGCAGTTACGATGTTCAAAACAAACGATTTTTGAGAGAGATCAACGCTTTTTCGCCGCAATTTTATCATAGATGGATTAAGATAATTCTAATACAAGGCAGGTGTAAGTTTTGGTGGGAATCACTCCAAAATATGTTACAAAGTATACCGATAAACTTCTCTCCTTGCGAAAGATCTATTGTGATCTATTATTATGAGATTTGTCTAATATCTTGGGAGCGTTTTTTTTAAAGAAATCAATTATTCCACTCGCGCTTGTTGGATATGAGATGATTATAGCCAACGAGGCGCGTAGCGACGAGTTGGCTATCTATCATCTCATATCCAACGCGCGCCCGTGGAATAATTGTTAAGTAGTAGTGTTGCTCACAATTATTCATGTTAGGACTGGAGCCGGCCTCTCATATGTATTTAATGGACATAAGTGCTACACTAATATATATATTATATATACAAAGAGAACAGCCGAGCACTCCAATAAGCCTCTTTAGCAATCAAAAGCCTGTCGATCTCTTCAGAGCCGCTTGGGGCCTGTAACTGATTAAATCATTAGAACGAAAAATCACTAAGGGTGTGTGGGGTTCTGGTAAAGTGTATCGCTACTTCATAAGTTGTTTTGTTTGTGAGTATAGCAGATTTGTGATTTCGAAACGTAGCTCTAAAGTGGGTAGTTGTAGATCCTCCGTATTACAGGCGACATTTCGTGCAAGAAGCCAAGTAAATCACATTTTTGGAATCACGAGAAAGTCTGGAATGAATGGTGTAATTTTTGCCCGTCTGGAAGCTAAGAAATGATTTAGATTCAATAAAGAAATTCTGAGAGAGGTGGCATCTTTTCCTTGTTATGATGAATTGTTTGTCTCTCGGTGACAGTTTTAAAACGAGATGGTGCTAATAATTGGCTAAGATTTTTTGACCGACGAAAAGATGGTATGATAGAATTTCAAGGAAAAAGCTCTTTCAATTTGAGGTTGGATTGTAGAATGAACAAATGCTTTCTGATTATGTTGAGGCCTACTCTGGGACCTTAAGTTGCCTTAAGTCGCTATTGGTTACACAACGTTATCAGGGTTTATAATTATAATTTATAATTTACCAATTTATATAGCGCATATTTACATGTGCTGATCAGTAGCGCATATTAGATATTGTTGTTAAGGCTGAGATCGGACGTCAGCAGATCAGACGCCTCTTCAGCTACTTCAGTCCATGTAACAATCTCACCTTCCCACCCATCCCCCAAATACCCACCCATCTCACTCCAGGGAAGGACATCCACCACACAGTAATCTCGTGCATGGGAAATTAACGTCTCCTACCCCTAACCCTACAGGAAACGGGGCCTACAGTTTATTCGTCCTTATCCGAGGATACTAGAATATCTATCCATTTCTTGATATTATAGAAAGGTAGCAGATTCTTCTCAGTTATTTTAAGACCATGAGTGTTGGTCCGGCCGAGACTCGAACCCTCGACCTCTCGCACATCACAATCCGGTGCTCTAACCAACTGAGTTAACCGGGAGGAGGATTCCACCCTAATCCCAATTGACCCTATTCACTACAGTCTAATCATAAGGATCAGAGGAGGAGGCATGGTGGCTGAATGGTTAGTGCACTGGGCTTGATATTAGCCCATGCCAGTTTTGGTGTCTAGTGTTGGAGCATTTCATTAGGTTCTTGTGAGGTGGGCAATGGCTTCCATGTACATAGAAACCCCATGTGAAAATAGTCATGTACTTGTCTAGCCCATATACTGGCATAGGTAACTCCTGCATGTAGACAATCCTGATGTAGGAAATATGACAATGTATACTCTTCCATCTTCTTACTAAAACAGCTATTAGCAAGAGTTCCACATAACCCTTTACATTAATTAAAACGGTTTAGAGTTATTCTTGTTCTACGAGCCCGGCGTGTTTATTTGGCGACTGGTTTGGATTTTCGCGAAAAAATGTGCTGGATGGAGGGTCGATCGGTCGCCGACGCTGCCGTCAGCGTCCTACCTTGTCTCTCTACTATGAAGGAAAGGTGAAGAAGAGTATTTTCCCCAAACTTCGTGTACGTATTAAAGACAACAACAAATCGCCACATGGTAAGTTTCAGTGATTTTTATTTCCATTTTCAAGCAAATTTCCAGACCTAAACTTCGCCCCAGACGTTCTCTCTTTTTAACCATGTGTACGTGACGTTCTCTCTATTTAACCATGTGTACGTGACGTTCTCTCTATTTAACCGTGTGTACGTGACACAACCAGTGAGCCTGGGTTACCTGTGCTTCCGCCATAGTATTCGACCAACTGAAAACATTTCAACTTTGTAGTTTGACGAACCCACTAAAGGCGTAAATATTTATCTATCCTGAGACTTTGAGAGTCTTTTTGTACATTTCTTCTTCGTCAGTTTGATGATCAACACACATGAACTACTTCTGAGCCAAGAAAAGCCTTTTACAACAAACATGTCTGCCAGAAATATTTGCTCACGTGACTTAAGTTTTGTCCCGTGACCAAAGTGCACGTGACAACAACACGCAAGCGAGCTTGATGAAAAGTATACAGAGAACTTCATCTGTGCAAAAAAAAATTTCAAGGGATTCTGTAAATATTTTCAAGGGTTATGGAGAGACTGTTGCTAACTTTGATTTTATCACTTCAGTCAAATAGATCACTTTAAGTCACCTTAAGTTGCCTTAAGTCGCCTAAAGTCGCCTAAAGTTAAACTGGGTGACCGCTTCAATGAAAACACCACACAAGTGCTTTTCCCTCTTGGAGTGGATTATCATTAGGGCCTGTATTCTTTCCGATCCCTACCCACCGAAAAATTCCGCCTTGTGTCTATTGACTGGTTACCTGCTTGCATTTCGGAAAGTAAGGGTAAATTCGAGGTAAAGTAAAGGAAATTTTTCGGTAAGAGCAGAAAGCATGGGCGTACTTAGCGAGAGAAACCCTAAAATGTTGTCCCACTCTTAACCTCGAAGCATGGAAACTAGTTAGCGGCGCACAGGTTGCTGGGAGAATTAAAATGGTGGAGACTACAGAGCCAGTTATCAGCTTGGGGAATTTCGTTGTGACTCGTTAGTTTCTGGACAGGTGTGAGGTAACAATGAATGCTTAGGTCCTGCTGATCCGATCAACAGTGGAGAGAGACCTTAGCATTTGGTTCTCAGTATGGTATTGGAGTGTTTTGTCTAACTGAGGTTGGAGAACAACAAATTGGTTGGGTCTCTGAAAAGGACTGCGCAATTTTGGATTCTGTTGGAAAGACATGCGACTTGCCAAACTTTCATGTCAAAATTGACAGTGCAAGTGGCAAAAATATGAGAGACAAGTTTACCAAGATAACAATTTTTATAATTTGTGAGGCTTTGTGAAATAATTGATAATCAAGTTTTGTCTGACTAATTATGTAGAAAATGTATTGATAGTTTTTTGTAAATCATGTCTCTTTTCTAAAATTAAAAATGTGTGTCTTTGTGTACATTTTTGATTGGTTTGTCTAATGTTGGGCATATAACCCATAATGTATTCCTGGCTATTTATTCACTAGCTTTGACTGTATAATTGAACAATAACTGTTGTGGTAATTCTGTCTCATCATTTTTAGGTAAATTGGTTTGAAATCTGGATATTTTAGACTATGGTGACTTATGAGCATACAAAAGTAACCAAAATGACTTCTCACAAAAGTAGAAAACATTCCACGCGCCGCCATCTTTGTTTTGAATTTTCATCTTTTGATCTCGCGCTTCTTTCGCACGTTTCTCTCGCGCGCGTCACGCAAGAGTGAGCTGTTCCCCGCGGGAGGAAACTGGTACGAGCCACCGTAACTCACGGGGAGTTCAATCGTTGCATGTTCTCGAGGTCTAGAAAACGTGTGGTGAGAACAAACGGA